CTGGTACCTGCCCCACAACGGGTCAAAATTTTGAATGAAGTTACAAAAAAAAAAAAAATACGGGAAATGAGCATCTGAGACCATTCAAACTCGCTATATCCCGATAGTTATATCAACGCAAGATCTAACGTGAAAAAGGAATATATAACTCCTTATGGCACCTTCTCCACAAGGGGTCAAAATTTGGAATAATTATAAGTCTTATAAAATTAGTAAAATAAAAGTCAGATTTTCTTTGAAGACCGAACATCTCAATACTTCTATTAATACAATATCGTATCGTACAAAAGCATTTTGGTCAGAATTTTCCACAAAAAAAGTGATTCGTGATGGAATTTAAGCGTGATAGTTTAATTCTTTGTATTTGGATGAAAAACTACAAGTGGCTAGCCCGACGTCAAGGTAGCTTAGCCCGACGTCAAGGAAGTGGACGGAAGAAAACAGCAACATTAGCAGAAATGGTTCGAAAAGTAAAGAAGCGACTTGATCGAAACCCGCGTCGCAGTGGCCGAAAAATGGCTCGTGAGCTGAACATATCGCAATATTCCATTCGGCCAGCCATTGAAATTCCAAAAAGTGCAAGAACTTACACCGCAACAGAAAGAAAATAGACTCAAAAGATCTAAAGAGTTGCTTCTCATGGCCGAAAGTTATGAACTGCCGAATTTGATTTTCTCCGATGAGAAAACATTTGTTGTCAACTGAAAATGGGCACCTTCGGTTGGCCACCAACCATATTGATGGTGTGGGCACGCAAACATTTCGGCCGCAGACCTTGGACATTCCAACAGGACTCAACACCATCGCACTCAGCACGCGTCACCCAAGAATGGTTACAAAATGAGGTTCTTCGTTTCATTTCCAGCCCACAATGGCCACCAACATCTCCGGGAATCAATCCGTTGAACTATTGTGTCTGGAGTATTTTGAAAAGCGGAAAGCGATCATCGTCTGTTATGGCGGTCCACACAATCACCATGGCAGGCGCTTGAGTTCTGGTGGCCAACCGAAGTTGCACATTTTCAGCTGACCTCTTTGGCAAGTAAACACGATCATTTTGTTTGTTTACAAACGGCTGGCCAACGAATGGTTTCTCTTCGGAGAAAACTAAATTCGGCAGTTCACCACTTTCGACCAAAGGGTCGGAAGTTGGTTGCAGTTTTTTCATCTTACCCTGTATAGATTATCAGACATAAGTTAAGGGTATATATCTGCCGACAAAAATGACTGATACTTTTTAACTCAAATACCTATTTCGAACAGCGTTTTCTTTCGCATTCACTTTAGTGACGTACTTTCAAAAGCAGATGCAATTCTCCAAAATGTCGTAAAGAAATTATACCACACACATCTTCTAATTTTATATTGATTTTTCATATATCAATATTTTGAGATTTGATTATCAATTTCCAAAATATTGATAAAAAAAAATCATGTGTGTACACATACATATATATGTACATAAGTATGTGCACCCAATTTTGGTCTGCACATCAACGGTGACACTATTCAGTCCCCACAATTTTCATTTTTGCACATTAACCTAATAAAGCCATTTATTTCTATTATTAGCAGATTATTAATAATTTTATTTATCAAACACCTCAACAGGGGAGCCATATTTGCCCCAAAACACCTCGATTACAAACGCCCTTTTACAGTCCAGTCTCAATGTTGTATAGGGTGTGTAACTGGATGTGTGTCACAACGTAACTATGTTAGTGTAAGTGTATCCAAAACTATGAAGGTCAATCTACTATGTTCCTAGGGCTGTGATGGTGGATTCTCTCTTTTTTTCTATTTTGTTTAATGTAGTTCCGTGGGGGGCGGAAGGAAATAAATTTAAGGTAAAAAACCCAAAAAAAATATATTCTCAAGCATACTTTTCGGCTGAGTATGGGAAAACAGACTTTTTTCACTTTGAATTTAGATTTTCTCCATTTTTCTGGGTTTCGATTTTCTTGCAAATTTGCTATACAATAATTGTTGTTGTGATTTTTTTTATCCACTTCTGCTTATTTTGGTAATGGGCTTTTGCGTATTTTTTTTTCTCCAAATTTGTAAGCTTCTATTTCCTCTTCACCGACACACAAGCACACATGTATACAAATTGTAACACACATACACACGCACGTTTTATATGCTAATGCCTTTTCTGGTTTTTGGGATTTTGTTTTCCATTCGGCAGTAGTGCTAAGTTTTTGGCATCCCGATACCGCAACCGTTGCCTGCCATAGCTTAAATTATACTGGGTTTTCTAGGTGGGTCGTTATTTTCAGCCAGCAACATTCTTCGTTTACATTGTGTGTTGTTATATGCTCTGCTTTTCCCTTTTTTCTCTTCTTGTTCTTCCTCTTCTTCTTATGATATTACACGAACCAACCAATAATCCAACCCACCATCCATAAACCTCTCGGCACTCTTCACCGCTGTTTAACATTTTTATGGTAAAAACTGCCTGTTGTAACATGTTCATGTAAGAAAAACCTTGATGGGAATCCACACTTTGTTTGGTTGACGCGCATTGTTGTTGCTCTTCGTTGGTCCGTTCGTCGTTTGTGGCATGGCAAGCAAGTTCTTCTCACCGTTGTTTTGGTTGGTTTCCTTATACCGCGCCATTTATTATTGTCTACATGACACGGAACCGGCGGCGCGCATTTTTGTTTCTCATCAAGGTTTCCCTGTGTGTAGTTGTTGTTACTGTTTTCACCGAGAACCGAGATTTGTATTTGTTTGTCCATTACTGTCAAAGTTTATTCCACTTGTATGCGCCTCGTTTTCTCAGTCTGCAATCTCGACCTCCTCTCTCTCGCTGAAAAAGGGTCACTCAGTAGTTTTGCATTTTTGCCAAACAATATTTTCTGTTTATGTTTTTCCTCTTGATTTCCTCTTCAAGAGCAAATGAATGAGTGAGTAACTGCATGAGAGCCGGCAAATGAACGGTTTTGACAAGTGGCAAAGTGCGCATGTCTTTCTTTTGCTGATCACATATGGAGGGACATCTGTGGCACTCAGCTGTTGCAAAAGAGAATTTTAAATTGTAGTAGATTTGAATGTATAACGGAAACTGAAAGAGGTGTAATATAAATTATAAAAATGAAGCATACTTTGAGGCGTTTTTATTTAAATATAACAAAATGATGGATGCCAAAGATGCTTTCCAATCATAAGGTACCAGCAAAGTAGAAGAAGTAGATGCATCAACGCTTGGAAACATTGATACGTAAAAAATTTTATTTTTTGTTCAAATATTAGTAGATTTTTATCAAAGCCTATAATTTTTATGTTATTTCTTATATGACGTCAGTCGGAGTTTATTATAATATTCGTTTTTCAACAACTTTCACATTGAATAATTTTCAAACTGTTCAATTCCGAAATAGGTTTGACAATTTTGGAATTGAAATTTTTTAATGAAAAATTATTCATATTTATAAAAACTGTAGAAAACGAACTGTTGAAACCTCCGATTGAAATTGTTTCGTATGAAATTTCGAAATAACTGTTTTAGGCCATAGGTCTCTTTAGACCAAATCCGTTTCAGGACATTTGGAGTCGGATAACGATGTCCGACCCTCTGTCTGTTTGTCTCTCGAAGGGAGTAACATCGTAACAATTACAAAAGGTAGAACAAAGCTACCCCCTTATACCCTCCACCATTCTATAGAAGGTATATTAGCTTTGTCATTCCGTCTGTAACATCTCGAAATATTCATAATAGACCCTACAAAGTATATATAGCAATTGGATTGGATTATCCTTTCTCTTTCTGTGCAAAAAATATATATTTTAGAAAATTTCGATCTTTTGTGGGGGAGGTACCAGAAGAAATGGACCGAAATTACCCATCCCCGAACTCGATCTAAGTTTGATAAAAATATTATGATGTACCAAATTTGGACCAAATCCTATATCCCCTAAGAGAGTTATCGTGCTCACCAGCCAGCCAGACAGAAAGATGGATGGACATCGCTAGATCGACTCCAAATATCCTAAAACGGATTTGATTTAAAGAACAAATCTTATGATTTGTTTAAAAATATTTACTTCACTCAAAGATTTGTTAAAAGGAGATAAACACTCCTTATCACAAAAATACTGTCCAAGTCCCATTGATCACCATGGGTTAAATGTAAAAAATATCTAATAATGCCGATAACCACTGCTGAAAAAACAAAAGCAACAATTTTAAGTGTTTGTCAATTAGCAAATGTATTGATTCTAACAAACAAAACAAAAAAAATAAAACATTTACCTCTTATCAAATTTTTAACTTTTACTTTTTGCACTCATTTAATTGCGGCACTCTCTCTCTTTCCTTCTCTTGAATGCATATTGTCATCCATCATGTTTACACTCACTGAACTGCACCCCCACATATCAAACAACTACAACAATAAATAACATTGAAAGAGCGCCACACAGTTACAGTGGTGGCTAAAAGAAATGTTACCTTTTCAATAAATGTTGAAAATATGTAGGTGTTTTTTTTTTTTGGAGCAAAAAAGGCAAAGCAAAAGAAAATGCCAAGGAATATGAAAAGAAATAAAGGAAATGAGGGGGCTGCTGCTACGTGTGTCTGTGAAAAATATATGAACCAATAATGCGCGAAATTTTTAACGTTGGCGTTGATTGTGTCTGGCTGGCTGCTGGTTTGGATGGTAACATAAGCAATGGATTGATATGAACGCACATACTCACGCCGTGGTGGGGGTCCATTTGTTGTTCTCGGCAAACACGCACACACAGCCACTAGGCAGACCGGCGCACTGGTAGTGGTGCTCGTTTCTGTTGATGATGACGTTGGCTTCTTACAACAACAGCAATAACATCATCATTATCATCATTCGCCAGCATTATGGGCAAACAGATGCAGGCTTTCCATATGACTGGCAGACGTTGTCGCTATTCAGTTACTCGCCGCTGCTCGTAAACGAAACAACAGCATATCTTGCTCTCCAACTCAGTAACGGGTCTAACGAGAAGAAAGCCAAAAGAGAAAAAAAGAACGATTTTGTAACCGCCAACAGAAAAAACTCAATCAGTGCAAATTAGAAGAAATTAAGAATCCTTTGAGGATTTTCTAAAACAAATCAAATTTTCAGTGTTAAACCCCGTAACAAACAAACAAAATATGAGCAGTAAGTTTTGGTGGATTTTGAAACAAAAATCCCTCTACATTTTCAAAAAGAAAAACCGCTAAATTAAAAATAAAAAGCAAGAAAAAACCGAAAGAAAACGCAAGCAAAAAGCATGGCCAAAAAGGGAAAAAATGATTTCCTTTTGCAAAGAAAACTCAAAATGAAAGCTGTACATAAAACAAATTATTAAAAACCAAACATTTTATTTTTAAATAAATTATTCAAATAATACCTACAAACACACAATTTGTTCAAAAAGTGCAATTTTATTTCAAGTGCTTCAATTTTTATCATTCATCGCCGGCTGAATTACCTAAAGAAAAAAATAGAAATAAATGAAAACCTTTGACTTGCAAACTACCGATGATGTGATGCCTCTTGCATTCATCTTTTTTTACTTCTGAGTCTTTTTCTGTCGTTTCTATTTTATTCCGCATTTCTAATTTTTTTGATTATTAATAAAAAAATAATGAAATTGAAACAATTTATTTTGTATTTATTTCATGCATTCGAATTCATAATACCAAAATTTCATCGACCTTAAGTGACCTTCATTTAGCTTAGAATTTATTTTCTTCGTGGTGGCAAGGGTTGCCAAATTGCTGTGATTATGTTATGGCTAAGGGGGAAAAGTTGGAAATCTCAAAATTTCCATGAAGTGAAAATTGTTTTCAGTTTTTTTTTTAATGGTGTCAAAAGCAGAGATTTTTAATTTAATATTTTTGAATGAATTGGGGTATTTAAATTTAAGATACGAAATTACATTTATGTGGAGTGTCAAAATCATGTTTTTTTTAAAAAATAGTTGTTATTGAAAAAAAGCGCCGTTGTTATACGTGCATATTTGACGAAAGGGTATTTATATTTGTGGTTTATCAAGAGTTATATTCACAAATTCAATCAATTCCAATTGTTCGGTTCCAGAACCTGCAAGAATATAAAAATATAACTACGAAATCGATTTTTCCTTTATTATATCGAAAAAATTGAAAATGTAGTAGATTCTTGCAGGTTTGGAACACAGTAAATATTGTATAAAAATGTGTATGTAACCAATGGTCAGTTTCAGAACTCCAAGAATGTCAAATTTTTACTACGATAACGGATTTTCCCTTTATGATATCGAAAAATATTGCAAAACTTGCAGATTCTTGCAGGTTCTGAACAATTTTAATAGTTTACAATTCTGGTTAAATTTTATAAAGGGCATTGTTTCAAATATCAAAAATATTCCAAAGATAGAAAATTGGTTTATATTTGGATCGCTTTTAGAATTTTATTGGCGTAATTGTGGGTTTTAAGCATGGTATAAGAATACAGGTAGTCGCATCGACACATCGCTGGGACAATGAACTGTCAAACCAAATTTGAAATTGAAAATTTTGAATGAAAAATTATTCAAATTTGTAAAAGCAGTTGAAAAATGAATATCATTAAAAAAAGCGGAAAGTTAATGTCAACTTGGGTTTGTTGTTCCCATACTTATAAAATATTTATATTGTTCACTTCAAGACTCGAAAAACTCCTATAGGCCTCAAAACCCACTGGGTTTATTAGATCCAGTGGGTTAATCTTGTGATACACCTTAGAGGATGTATATTTTAATGTTGTAAAGAAAACCTTTGCAGAAACATGTGCGACCAATGCTGTACCCAGTGATGTTTTCCGTAGTATGTTGCCTCTGCTAATTTTAAATTAATCCGGTCGTCGTGGGTTAATCCGGATAAAATGTTGTATCTAAACGCGTTGTAAGTTCATAAATAGTTACAAAGTAAATTGTAGACGGTACGTGCACATATAATTGTGTTAACCCATTAGATTCGGATTAAAATTGTCATATCCATTACTTATACTTCAAATAAATCCTATTAAAGTAGGTTAACCCTACTAAAAGTTCTAACATAAACATGGCATTATAAAAAATATTCCATGTAAATATAGTGGCAGGTCAATTTATTTATTAGTAAAAAGCAAGAAAGAAAAATCATGCTGCATTAAGATCAAGACAGAATGAAGGCGCAACGCGTCACTCATCATGAATATAACAACAACCACAAGGATGTGCCTTTATCGACACTGTTAGGGTTGTTGTTTTATCGACAAAGCATAACATAAAAATGCGCGTGACGCCTTCATTCTGCTTTGGCCACAGAACGCGTTTAGCGTTAAAAATGCTGCAATAATTATTTCGAAGTAAAAAAACTGGCTGAATCGGTCATCAATATATTTATTATTAAAAAGCAAGAAAGAAAAATTCTGCTGCCTTAAGATCAATCAGAATGAAAGCACAACGCGTTACACATCATGAATATTTTTAACAAACAGAAGGATGTTCCTTAACGACACTGAACGTTTTCTTAGGGTTGTTTTTTTTATCGACAAAGCGTAACATAAAAATACGCATGACGCCTTCATTCTGCTATGACCACAGAACGCGTTTAGCGTTGATAATGCTGAAATAATAATTTAAAAGTAAACAAACTAGACGACTCTGCTCTTAAATTGAAAAAAATTAAAAATTTACGGATAAAATTGCCATGATTTTTGTTAATGAATTCAATATTAATCTGATATTGACTCTCTTTGTTATAGTCCCCAGAACTTGGTTGAAAAACTGCAGTTGAAGTCTATGAGTCAGATTTTTTTTATTTATTTATTTTGATTTCTTTCATTCATTTCTTAGTTTCTTTCATGGTAAAATTAAGAAGGTAAAGTCATTTCAAATAAGCAAATCCATCTCTGCATTTTCTGTAATTTTCCTTGTCGAATTTCACATGTTCCCATCTTTGAGGTGTGTGTATACATTGGATTTTTAAAACTAAATGTTGACAATGAGGTATCGTCAAATGAATAATTTTGAAAAAATTGTAAACATATGATTGCAAGACTTTACCTTCTTAATTCTTCCATGGTTTCTTTAGTTTTGTTGTTGCGGAAAATCAGGTCAAATCCTTTAAATATTTCCCAAATAGAAAGGATCCAACGTTTATTGAGTTTCAATGTAAAGGACAATAACATATCTACATTGGATTTCAAGTTTGATATAATGGCAATGGAATTGACAGTTGGATTCGTGTAAATATGCTTCTAGAATATCATAAAGTTTATAGCTCGTTTACATACAAGATCCGCGATAATTGTTGATTAATTGCTATTAATTGAACATAAGTTTTTCATAGTTAAATTTATTGTGATTGGTATGCCATCAGGGCTACATCGGGTAAAGATTTTATATGTAAACGCAATTTTAGTATACCCATAACTCCATGATAAGGAGGTAACACATTTTCAAAATGTTTCCATCTCTGAGTTTTATATACATAATAAATTTATGAATACACATTTTGACAATGAAATGTTATCAAATGTTTAATTTTGAAGAAAATGAGAACATATGATAGCACAAGTTTGCCTTCTAAATTCTACCAAGGTTTGAATAAATTTTCCATGCAGCCGAATATTCAATGAAATTTAAAACTCTGATAAGAATTAGGAATTGTTTACTGCACGCTTGTCTGAGTATTATGTAATTAATTTATTTGTTTATAAAATTTATTCAAAGAATTTTTGTATTTTATTCTTATTTCAAATCATTTCCTATAACATTCTCCACCCTTTAACTCCCTACTCCACTATTTGGCAACCCTGTTGACAAACTACGATGACGCTCTCTCGCTCTGTTTATAACAGCAGCATAATGTGCTCTATTAACAAAATCAACTTGACATTTTATACGGTTTTTGCATTTCATTAGCATGCTCTCTTTTCGTTGCCCCAAAAGAAAAAAATAAAAGTTTAGGAAACAAATACTTTTAGTTGTTATGTTTATACGGAAAACAAATAAAACCAACTAATCAGAAATGGATTCTTATTTTATTTTTTTTCCTTATTTGTCTGATCAGTTTAGTTAGTTTTGCTTTTATTCTTTCGTATTTATTTTTGGCAAACACTAGAGATAAGCCGACTAAAAAAATTAAAAAAAAATGCATTCTTATGTGCTGAGACAGATGTTGTTGTCGTTTTGCTGATTTGTTTGTCGCCGATTTTCTTTTTGTACCCAGTACCGTTATCGTCAATGATTTTTGGTGGCTTTCATATGTTGACAATTACTTAAATGTCACATGCGACCACTTTGTTTGTTTATTTGCATTAGTTTTCAATGAAGTTTACCCCTAGCCACTAAAAATGACATGACATTAAGTAACTAAATGTCATCTTAGCAACAACAACAATGTAGTTGAGTTTTAGCGGCAATTAAGGAAATGATTTTTATTTCCTATGCCTTCCTCTCATTTTCTCTCCAATTGTATTAAGGGTGCGCGCATTTACTCTTTGTTGGGATTAGTAAATAAACCACTTGGAGAGTATGTTATTTCGCTTAGCTCCATCCCACTTTTGGTGTTTTATATTACAAACTTGACCTAGAATTTTTGTGGTATATAAATCTTTATCAGGCATTTCAATCTCTGTGAGAGATTTAGAGAAGTAAAATTCCGTTGCTTTGATGCTGCAACTGAAATGAAAATTTAGCTACCGGCATCTTATATACAAAAAAAAAAAAAAAAACTGTGGTTTAAACAAACAATGTGCCCTTATGAGGGTCACTTCCTTCTCTTCGGCAAATGAAATGTCAATGAGGGCAAACAAGTGACGTAATGACAGCTATAGAGCAAATTAACAAAGTATCAAGGCCAACCAGTAAGACCAGCTGATTGTCAGGTTTTCAGTCAAAATAAATCTATGTCAGGGGGATTCACATTAGGAATACACATATCAAAAGGAGTTTTTAGTTGAAGGCATCAATGGTTAGTTCATCTATGATTGAGGATATTTTAGATCATTTAACGACGAAGAGGAAAACAAGTCGAAGACACCTCATCAAATTTAGTCGAGGTGTCAAATATTTGGTAAAAACAATGGCACTACTAGAAGGGTAGTTTAACTTTAAAATAACTAGGAGAAATACAGCTCTGTACAAGAGTCTTATTGTGTCAAAAAGG